CCCCCCCCCCCCCCCCGCGGGCCCCCCCCCGCCCCCCCCCCCCCCCCCCCTTTGCAAATCATTTGCGGACGAATGCAGGTGAGAGCGGAATGGAGAATTCGCAAGGTGCGGCAGGGGGGACAGGGGAAACAGCGCTGCTGCAATTTGTGTAAAATGTCGGCCATTGTGGATTAGCAGCAGCAGCGGCAGCGGCCGCCGTCCGTTCGAGGCCGGCCTACGAGCTTGTGGATAAGGGACACCTGCAGCCAACGGTATAGTTTGTATACCCTGCACATAGGGTAAGACGACTGCAAGCTGACTTTGGCAGCCACAAAAATAGACACCAAAAAAACGCTGCAAAATAAGTTCGGCCAGGGGAATTCCAACCTTCAACGGGAAGGGTATTTACAACTTCGGCACGCACTGTTTTATTGTTTGTTTCTGTTTTGGGGCTGTTGCTGAAGCTGCTGCCGTGTCATCATTATCATTTGCATTTGCATTTTCGGCAGGCAGTCAGGCAGCCAGGCAGGCAGTGGCTCAGCCACCTCTTTGCCCTCTTCTTTGCCTCTGTTGTTTCACAAATATTGTCATTTTATGCTGCGTCCATAGCGTGTACGTCTCCGTATAGCCCCACGATAGCATCAGCAGAGGCGGCGGTGCTGTCATGTGAGTGTCAAAGTGGCAAAATTGCTAATTCCCTCAAAGCATTTTGGGCCATAAAAACAAATTGGACATGGGCCCACAGAGAGGCCATGTGCATAATAAAGTCAACTCAAGAGTTGAGAATGCAATCAAAAATTGAATTAAAGATTGACGGGAACTGCATTAAAGTGATTCAAATCTACCACCTTAAGCGATAAGTATCGATAGACTACTCATAAACTGGAGCTGGCTGCTAGCACACTCATGAGACTGTCCATCTTGTCGTTATTTAGCGTATTTTTATGGCACCCACCCACCAGCACTTTGGGACAGGTGACCAGCAACAATTGGTACCGTTGGAGGAATGGATATTATCGCATTCTCATATTCTCACAAATCAATCTGTGTTGGTGGGCCATCTCAACGAAATTTGGCAGATTATAGATACCGATAATGTATCTAGATTGGTATATAGGTTATACATAGAAAACATATGAAGAGGTTAATAGCATGCCAGTCTCAGACAAAGTCATTGTTCATGTTTAAAAGCAGTGTGTAAAATGGAATTTTAATATAACTTATGGCAAATAGGGTACAAAAGTGCCCATCCCATACTATACTATCGGTTAGCCAGCAACAATATGTCAAATGAGTTTTGTTGGTTTTACCCTTATTTTGCAACAATCCAATAAAAATTACACATGAAAATTAGCCAGTCTTGTGGAGCATTAATTGATGTATTGTTTGAAATTATAGTTTAAGCGCTAAGAGTCCTAACTAGCTGGTAATATTAACTGGAAGATCAAAGTCGAGGAAATGATTTAAGACTTACGGTATCTTAACAGTATATTTTTAAAATGAGAGGGTTCGGTATACTTCCGAGGATCTGTCGGTATATTTGATCGATCATTTGGCGGTCACACTGCTTACGTTCTGCCACTATGCAACACTGATTGTTGATTGTATTTATTTATCGTTAATTTCGTTTTCGTTTACGTTTTTTTACTTTGTGAATGCAATGTTTACTTTGTTTTGTGTTTAAAATAAGCTTAATTTAGTTAACGACCACCAACTGCCATGACGACACCGCGGAGCTGCGACTGTGATAGCCCCCAGCAGCGATTGCTGCAATTTACCAACTGCCGCCTGGTGCGCGGCCACCAGTTGGTCCGCGACGATCTGTGGGTGCGCGATGGCAGGATCATCAATCCCGAGCCTGTATTCTTCGATGAACAGGCGAGAGCCCACAAGCGCATCGATTGCCACAATGCCATCATAGCACCCGGCTACATTGACCTGCAGATTAATGGTAAACAAAATGCCTCCCCTACGCCCCTACGCATTTCACTTTCACTGCTGTGGATTCAATTGGTGCGTCAAGGTCGTTTAATTTCGCTAGCCCATTTACATGAGCGGCTGTTGATTGGACACGTAATCAGCGAGTTAATCTTATCGTACCCCGCCACAAGTGCTGCACCGCAGTCACCACACAAACAGCTCACAGCACCAGCTCCGGTCCAGTTCACGCGATAAGCTTTGGAATGACCCTATTAATGACCACTTTACTACCCATTAGGTGGCTATGGTGTGGACTTCTCGCACGACAAGGACACCATTGAGGCGGGCGTCAACAAGGTGGCCCAGGGACTGGTGCAGTCGGGCGTTACCTCCTTCTGCCCGACGCTGGTGACCTCACCGAATGCCAGCTACCATGCGATACTGCCGCGCATACCCAAAACTGTGCCAAACGGTGCCGGCATCGTGGGCATCCATGCCGAGGGTCCGTTCATCAATCCCCAGAAAAAGGGCGCACATCCCGAGAACTGCATTCAGACAATCGACAAGGTGAGCGGAGTGAATCTCTTTCCATTTCTATGCCATTATTCCATCTTCATCAACAGGGACTGGAGACACTGGAGACCACTTATGGCTCGCTGGAGCGCATCAAGATCATTACTTTGGCGCCGGAGAAGGTCAGTGATCCGGAGGTGATTGGGCAGCTGGTGGCCAAGGGCATAACCGTGTCCCTGGGCCATTCTGTGGCCACACTGAGCGACGGAGAGCGTGCCGTGCAACAGGGTGCCACCATGATAACGCATCTGTTCAATGCGATGCTGCCGTTCCATCATCGCGATCCCGGCCTTGTCGGACTCCTCGCCTCCGATGCCGTGCCCCAGGGCCAGACCGTTTACTTTGGCATCATTTCGGATGGTGTGCACACACATCCCGCTGCGCTGAGGATCGCCTATCGCACCCATCCCGAGGGCTTGGTGCTGGTAACCGATGCCATTTCGGCGCTGGGCCTGGAGGATGGCATCCATCACATCGGCCAGCTGCCGCTGGAGGTGCGCAGGGGCAAGGCCTTCATTGCCGGCACAGAGACACTCTGCGGCAGCATTGCGCCCATGGACGAGTGCGTGCGAATTTTCCACAAGGCCACCAGTGAGTAGAGCCAATGCACCTATAAATAGTTGGTCTAATCTCAATGCCTAATCCACACAGATTGCTCCATTGTGTATGCCATTGAGGCGGCCACACTGCATCCTGCGCGCTGCATTAAAATTGATCAACAGAAGGGCACCCTGGACTTTGGCTCGGATGCCGATTTCATACTCCTGGACGACGAGCTGCATGTGCTGTCCACATGGATAGCAGGTGCCTGTGTGCATCAGTGTGTCCAGTAGCTAGTACATAAATATATGTACATAAATACGTATTTATTATGTATGCCCGAATGTATTCATAATGCACAATTCTCTGATCAAAATGTAAAATCTCGACATTCCAATTCTGTGCCGCTCCTCAGATTTGTTTTTACTGCCTGGAAAACTCTTTGCTACCCAAAGACTTAATTGCTTTCTGTTTATGGAGAAATTTCATCATCCAGACGGTGCCAAGGTTGCAGCTTTATCGTTTTAAATTGATGAAATATTTGATTTGTTTTATGTTCAGACTTTGCCTAGCTCTCAGCACGTTTCTAGGCAGACATAGCCATGAAATGTTATCTATTATATTGGAATTTGAAGCATTCTTGACTTGTTTTTCGAGCGCCATGAGATGTAGTTCCTTTTCAGCTGCTAGACATTATTTTGTGGCACCTATTAAGCAAAGGAACGTCGGATGTGCCCCCCGAGGAATGCTGAAAATGTTCATTTTTGGATTGTTCATTATATATTTTTTGTTTTTTAATCGGTAAATCATTTGGTGTGGACAACTACACTAAATCCATATACAATTACAAATAATAAGTATTAGACACAAAAAAAAAAAAATGAAATGGTTTACAATAAAATTACAAGAAGGAAAAAGTACATTTAGCATATTTAGGCTGGATTTTGTTTTTATGCCTATGCTACAGCTATTTATGTACTCTCTATATATATGTATGTATATATATATGTAATGATCAGTAAACAAAACGTGGAAACAGTGGCACAGCGAAACCAACCTCTGGCATGAGTAACCGAACCCAAACCCGAACCCGAAACCCCCAACTCTGCGACAACTTACACAAAAAACGAAACGAAACGAAACGAAACGTAAGCAAGATCAAGCCAGGTAAGTACTAAAGCATATTATATGTATATAGTAAACAATTATTACATTTCCAAGTCAGATTTCCTTGATCAAATGCTCAGATGTTCTTATCGAAATGCTGCACAGTCCACTGACTACAATTTGTGCTACTGTTAAAGAAATATTTAGCATTCCAAGATATTACGGAGGGTGATGCATGTCTGCTGTTGCTGGCTGCATATTGTATGTCTAATGACTGCGTAGTAGTTTCTATAATCTATAAAAAACCAAACACAAAAGAGTACGTGGGAAAACGTTTGCCAGAGGTGTGTGTGCTTGTGGCAAATCGGCAAAGATGGATACTTGATGGCGGAGCAGTAAAAGGTGCGCTGATGTAGTGGTAATAGTTAGTTAGTTACTAGGAATCATCGTATATAGCATATCAAAAAATGTTCCATTATACAAAAAATTGCTTCTTGTTTTTTGGTTTTGGTTTTTGTTTTTGTTTTTGTTTGTTTTATGTTTGCTTCTAGACTCTATAGAGACATTCTATGGAAAAAGGTTGTGTGTGTGTGTGTTCGTGTGTGTTTGGTTACGTTCTTCTAGTGGAGATTAAACCCTATTACACGTATTGTAAAAAATCTGTACCACGTTAGCTAACTAGAGATCGCCTCATGCGGGGGGCAAACAAAATGCCAGACGCCTGGAGTGGCCCCTGAGACAGACATGAAATGCAGTTCTGTTTCTCACATTCTTTGCTGCTGCTCCTTCACTTTTCCTTGTTCTTGGTTCTTGTGTTGTGCGTTAACTAACGTACTCGTATTCGTATCCGTATCCGTATCCGTATCTGCATATCCATTTGCATCTGTAGCTGCCTCTGAGTCTGTATCTTCCATTATAACCAACATCAGTGTAAAGTTTCGTCCAAATGTTCGTTGTTGCAAATTGTTTCAACTTTTAGGTAGGTTGTTTCTGTTGCTGTTTCTTGTGCTTGCTCTGTTGTTGTTCCTTCTGCATATTTTTGTTGTAGTAAGTAATTTCTCTCCTCTCATTCTACCCCGCTCTGTGTGTGTGCGTGTGTGTTTGTTGTCTACGTTTATTGCTTCATTTGTTTCTAAAACTGATCCGCAAACTGATCCAAATCTCGTCTCGTCTTCATCGCACAGCTAAACACACGCCACGACCACGGCCCCACGGCGGAGAGAGCCTTGACCACTCCACGCCACTCGTCCCCGTTTTACGCACAGCATTTGCTGTAGCCCGGCGCCTTGTCATTATTCCGACGATCGATGACAACACGCTCTGGATTCTCGGCCGCCTCCTTCCCAGATGTCTTATCCAGTATGGCCTCAGCGAGCTCGCAAAAAGCACGCTCAATGTTGATGTTCGACTTGGCGGATGTTTCCATGAACCGAATGCCATGCTCTCGAGCAATCTGAATGGAGAGTGTGAATGAGAAGTTGATCGCAGCTGTAGCCCCATAATCTTTTCAGTTTTACTTACCGCCTCGCCGCGCTCCTTGTTCACCACACGCTTGTCCGTCATGTCGCATTTGTTGCCCAGTATCATCTTTTCCACATCCTCATTGGCATGCTGCAGAGAGAGAGAGAGAGAGAGTCGCATAAGCGGGAGAGAGATAAAGAGATTGTGTGTGAGTGATGTTAATGAATCAATCAGGGGACGTTTGCACTCACCTCGTCAATGTTGCGTAGCCATTTGACGATATTCTCGAAACTCTTTTCGTTCGTTATGTCATAGACGAGCATGATGCCCATCGCCCCACGATAGTAGGAGGTGGTTATTGTGTGGAATCTCTCCTGACCGGCCGTGTCCCATATTTGCAGTTTGATCTTTTTGCCCCGCAGTTCCACGGTTTTGATTTTGAAATCAATTCCTACAAATGAATCAAAATTTAATCATACATTATGACGTCACAGCATGCGTTAGAATTCGGTTGCCCTCTCTCATAAATAATGAATCACCAGAGCACCACACACACGCACACACACGCATGTACACACAGGGCCCATGGGACAGACAGACACGGACATGGAAGTGAGACAGATAGATAAATAAATGTTTGCACGTATCGGTTACGTGTATTAATCTAGTTTTATTGCCTAACTAGGGGAAGGGTTACCGTTACCCTACAGCCACAGGCACAGACATTCATAGCTATGCAAAGTTCTCCCCACAGGTCAAGTCCAAAGGCTGCAACGATCTCTACATGCACACATACATACATATGAACATACATGCATATTTATTTGCACATGCAGAAAGAAACAGTAAAATGCATTCATCCCAGGGAACATGTGCATGCACAAAGTTTCCTCCTGGAATGCATGGTACCGTTTCTGATCCCACAGATAAGACAATGCCACGCCCAATTACACACACGCATATCCTTGACACCGTCGCCGCTGCCGCCTACCCACTGCCACAGCTGACACAAGTTCGGCTTCTACACACATGTGCATAACATGTACATATGCATGTATGTATGTGAGTCAATTGTAGGCAAGCGTTTGTACAAATAAACCGATTCGATTGCCTTTTCGGACAGGCCATGCACTCACCTATGGTGGATATAAAGGTCGAGGTGAAGGCATCATCGGAGAAGCGAAATAATATGCAGGTCTTGCCAACACCTGAATCGCCAATTAGCAACAGTTTAAAGAGCAAATCGTAGGTTTTCTTCGCCATTTCCACACACCAGCGGCTCTTTTAGAACAAAGCACACACAAACACACGCGCAGCTCACAAGGCACGCACCCACACAAACACGCACACACACGCGCACACACCCACAGCACGCAGGTGACTAGCGATTAATGCTCTTGCTCTAAATGCACTTTTATATGCTTCGCTTTAATCCCGATAATATATATATATATATTTTATTTTGATATCTTTGGCTTTGGCTGCTGTTTAATTTTATAAGAAAAACGTTGATTTATTTCAGCCTAATGCGCATTCGACTTTTTATTTTTCTCTTTGCAATTGTTGCTATTAGTGCTGTAAAACCATCGATGGCCGCACAGGCTCAGCGATAGTAGAGTATATCGATGGTTCACCGAAATCGTTATGCAGCACTTTGCTGTGTGCAGTGAAAGCGTATAGCAACACTGCAACCTAAACTGCAAACACTGCAACAAACAACCAAATTCTGTGCATTTTACCCATTTTCTACTTTTAAATACAACAAAACTGTTTAATTTGCTCGCCAGAACGGGCAAAAAAGTGGTAAATAGAATTGGCAACAAGCAACAGCCGATATTTAACGATTCCCTTGCACGGAGACAGGGTCATGGATGTCGACTGGCAAAACAATCTGACTGCGATTAAGGATCGCGGCCAATATCTGTTGCAGACTGAGAAATGGGCCGACTGTCGCTTTCTGGTGGGCACAGCGCCCAATCATCGCATCATTGCCGGCCACAAGCTGCTCCTGGCGATGGGCTCGCCGGTATTTGAGCGGATGTTCTTTGGCAATCTGCCGGACAAGACCGATCCCATTGTCATACCCGATGTGCAGCCGGAGGCCTTCGAGGCCATGATGGAGTACATCTACACGGACCGCATCACCATTGGTTCCTTCGACAAGGCCTGCGAACTGTGCTACGTTGCCAAGAAGTATATGCTGCCCCACGTCGTCACCCGCTGCACCCACTTCCTGTGGGCCGATCTCAGTCCAAAGAACGCCTGTCGCGCCTACGAGTTTGCCAAGCTCTTCGACGAGCCGCGCATCATGCAGAGCAGCATGGACTTGATTTCCACCAACACCAGGGAGGTATTGTCGGATCCCAGCTTCATGGACATTGAGGTATCCACACTGATGGCCATACTCGACCAGAATCGTCTGAACATCGACTCGGAACTGGATCTGTTCAACTGCCTGCTGAAGTTTGCCAATGAGCGGGGCATTCTGAACGAGTCCGGCCAGCCCGAGGGCCTCTACATGTCCGGCGACAAGGAGGTGACGACCAAGCAGTCACCCGACCACTCCAGCGGCGACATAATGGTGGAGGAGATCAAAATGGAGCCAGATGTGGCCGCCATGGTGCAGCATATGCATCAGGATGACGACGGAGACAGTTTCGAGGCAGACCCCAATGGGCCCTCAACCTCGTCAGCAGCGGCAGCGGCCGCCGCCACAGCATCGCCCGATGCGGATGCTAATGGCGATGCCGATGCCGATGCTGCTGCCTCTGACGATGTGGTCATCATTGAGAGCGACGCCTCGGGCAATGCCCTCGACGATGAGGTGAATATGATCAACATAATGGATGCCCAGCGCACCATCATGGACGGGGCCATGCTGCGCCAGGCGGTCAAGAAGATACGCTTCCTTACGATGACACCGCAGCAGTTTGCCGAAGGACCGGCACGCTCTAAGCTGCTGCAGCAGCACGAGGCACTCGCCATCCTCATCAAGATCTCCAGTCCCACGCTCAACGACTGCAACATGCCCGAGGGTTTCTGCATCTCGCGCAGCACTCGAAACTTCTACGAGCCGGCACACCGTCAGCGGGAGCTGGCCGCCTCGTATCGTCATACCGGTGCCACTGCCGCAGCGACGGCAACATTCTTTCCGGTTTTTGGGAATCGCAACAACGGGGGCGAGGTGCTCTTTTCCCGCATGGGGGCCACCATACATCGCACCAACAATCGCGCCGACGCGCCCGCCCCCCCTATTAATGCCGGCATATTTGGCGAGGAAGGCATCATGCCCCTAGGTCTGCGCGCCCCGGAGACGGTGAGTGTGGCGGACAATCCGGGCGCCAATCCTGCCAGCCATGCCACATTGCGCTGCTTTGGCGATGGCTACGAAGGCGGAGGAGCTGCGCCCGTTGGCCCGAACAACGCCAATGACAACGAGCCACCGGCTGTAGGAGGTGTGGCTGGAGGAGGTGCAGGTGCTGGTGCTGGTGCAGGTGGAGTTGGAATTGGAGGAGAATCTGGTGGCAATCAACACAACGACATGGTCCGTGCCTACTGCACGCGCTCGCTGACACGTCAGTTTGATTATCGCAATACGAGCGTCACGGATGCGGGCGTCACCTTTCAGGTGGACACAAACATCTGGATACTGGGCGTCCAGGTGCCCACGCGTGTGCTCTGCGGCGAACTGATGACCTCCGCCGGCTTCACGGAGCGCTACAATGAGGTTCTGTACGCACACATCCAGGATATGCACGGTTCGCGCATCACCTACACCCATTGTACGGCACGGGTGCGATATGACTCGCTGCTGGACATCACCTTTGACCGTCCGGTGTATATCTACCGCAATCAGATCTACAAGATATATGTGGTGTTCAACAAGGCCGGCTGGTATCCGATGTACTCGTGCGTGCCCGACGCCAACAGCCATCGCGTCAAGTTTATGTTCAATGTGGGCAATCCGACGGAGTCGGTGCGCGATGGCCTCATCTATGCGATCATATTCTTCACACCCCAGGACCATGCACGGCATCTAATCGACTGAGCCAGGTATTCAACGGATGTCGCCCACATTTGGCTTCACTTTAGGTTTAATTTCGAATTTTTGATGTGATAGTTTTAGGCCGGGCAAGACTACTTTGCCCACTCCACTCCACTCCACTTCTTCTCTTTAGAATAAAAATTGATCATCCTATTCCAATACAACATATACATATACGAGTATGTATGTATATCCTAAGAACATCTAATCCACATGGAGTTTATAGTTTGAGTTCAACCATGTGTGGGGGGCATTCCATCAGCAAGCATTCGATGCACCAAAAGGGAAGCGAAGCATTAAACATTAGCTTATAATTAAGTAAGCATTTTGTATATGAAACTCCAACCAACAACCACAATTAATAACCATTTCCGTCTCTCCGTTTCCCCCTCCGCCGTGCAACAAACTAAATTCAATATGTTTAGGAACAAAGAAATCAATGGAATGGTTTTTGCTACAAAGAATTGATTTTCGATTGATCGCTCCAATGGCAGCCACATGAATGTCACACAATGTACTTAGAATAAACTAATCGTACAATTAAGCTCAATCCAAGCACTAAGAACATAACATACTCGTACAAGAAAACAAATATTCAGTAACCAATAACCATGAATAAATCAAAATCTATTATTTAAGTATTTATAACTTTATTAATTATATTTATTCGCTTGGCACGACACCAGTGAAGCTTGAAATGAAATGATAGACCAAAGAATATAAGGATAACGGATCGCAGTGTGTTGGACTCCCGCTATTTCGTAAAGTGAACTTGAAGTGGTGCTACTCTGTCTGAAGGGCATTACCGTTATCTTCAGGTGGAAGCTCCCTGCTGCTATTTTACACTAATTGCAGCACTGTTTCTCGTTCCTTCCCACTTGCATTTCCATTCCAACCACCAAATAACACGAAAGGGAGGGAGCGACAGAAGAATAGAGTGCATGCGAAATTCGTTAACCTTTCTATATTGGCAATTGGCACTTAAGTTCTTCTCTTTGTGCGCACCCCGCACCGCTCCTTCCAGCCACAGGTGCTCCTTGTCTCTCCCACGGCCCCAACGCAACGCCTCCCCTCTCTTGGTGTCATCTGTTAATGCTCGCTCCTTTGTACCGTTCAAATTGGGATTTGTGCGAAAGGCAGAGAGAGAGAGTGCGTGCCGAAGAGAAGTGGAGTTCCGCATGGTGAGTAAAATATGAGTGCGATCAGCATGTACACACCGAACCAGCGTCGTCTGACTTTTTGACACTACGTCACCTTGAATTAACACACTTTGCAGTGTGCACTTTAAAGCAGTGGGCATCAGGTGAGCTTATCAGTGATCAAAAGAGTGAGAAGAGCAGACGGGCGGGTATGACAGTTGCATGGCTGGCTGCTACGACACTATTATATCTGTTTAACTTTAATAAATTTACAAACTTGTGGGGGCTCTTTTTCGAATGCATTCGTTGCCCGAAATGTATTACAATAAATAAAATTAACTTTATTGCGATTCATATACAAAAAAGGGGAGCCCAAAGAACGACAAAAAGTTAACTAAATACATAAAGAAAGGTTAACAGGCAAAATTACTACGAGTATATGCAAAATAATTTGTTTAATTCGGTTTTGGGTTGGGTTTCTTTTCGCTAGGAAATTTGGGACAGTGCGAAAGGCATGCGCGTGCAGGTATACAAAAAAAGCCCTCAGAGAGAGATAGAGAGGGGGAGAGAGAGGGCTATATAGATAGATTGTGGAGTGGATAGGATAGAGCTAGTCGGAGCTGGAGCTTTTCATATGTACGTATTTATATACAGAGCCGATATCCGAGCAGAGATCGGACTACGACAACGTCCAACGATGGATCTCCTCTCCTCTCTGTCTACTTTCCGTAGTTGGCGCACCCGCCGCTGGCATACTCGGGCTCCTCGCAGGTGAGCGTATGCTCATCGAAGACCTTGTCCTCGCCGCAGCTGATGAGACGTGGATAACCCTCCACGCAGGTGATCAGGCGATGGCAGTCCCCGGAGACGGGGAAACGTGGGAAGGGCCAGAAGCGAGCGGCCACCGAATTGGGATCCACCTTGGTGGGGCACTTGAAGCCAACGACAGCTGTGGATGCAACACAAACACACAAGAAAAAACAGATCGTAAAGAGGGTGTGGGGAATGCATAGTTAGAGCTGATCTTACCCTCGGGATTGCAGTGGTCGAGGAGCTGGTCGGGCCAGTTGCAGCCATGGATGCGCTCATCGTAGGCCAGGCCGGCATCGCAGTCCTGCTCGTGGGGCTCGCCGTGGGCGCACTTGATGTACGTGGTGGCACAGTCCTTGGACACCGCATACAAACCGAACTGATACTCACAGCCCGGCGAGGAGATCGGAGTGGCTGTGTGTGCGTGCGAGGGTAAATTGAAAGTTCTCCACTTAGAATATAACGTCTCTACTCACGATCCCACTGACGACCCTTGCAGTCGACGGCCCAGTTGTAGTTGCAGTGATTGTGGACGGCGCCCTTGCCATCAAAGAGCAGCCCATTCTCGCAGGTCTCCAGGGTGAGGGTGCCATTGGTGCAGAGGAAGAACTGGTCGCAGTTCTCCGTGTGGGCATACGCCTGTTCGCCGTACTTCTCGGGGCACTCGGGTGAGCCCACGGCCAGGGCATGTCCTGTTAATGGTAAATAATTCAATGTGCATTAAAAATCGATGAAAAATCAGCACCGATCTTAGTGGACCTAACATTTGGGATATTTTATCGACTCATTTTGACAGCTGCGTTGACAGTTGCGGATAGTGTCAACGGCAAGCACCATAGGCCATGTGCCATCCACTTCCTTCCGGCCTTCCTTCCGCACTTGCCAGCGCGGTGGCGGCGGAGGCGTGCAACTGGTTTCGATGGGAGTGCAAGTGACGCCACCGTCTCGACACTTTCGCGCATCTTCGCGTCTAGCGGCAAATGTGCGGCGCCGTAACGTGATGTAACCAGCGGGCGCTTGGAATGCCGATGCCACCATCGAGATCGGGTAACAGGTTGATTGCCTACCCAAAGCCGACAAAAACAAACACAGACGCACACACGCACACACTTATGCACTACAATGTGTGCACGAGTGGAGTATATTTAAATCTTCGAAGATTTCCGGTAATTTGTCTGGGACAAAAAGTGTGTTGGGAAAACTCTCTCGAGTTGAAAATGCCGAAACGAAAGTTAATCGTTGGTGCAACAAACGGATATAATCTGTTCACAGATCGTAACACGATCATATAGAAATCTGGATTCTAGAGTGATCTTTGAAGCACGAATTAAATAACTTCAATCTGTTTCTAACCTTTTGCTGGCTGAAAACTTGTATCGTATCAAGTGATTGTGTTTGCAAGTCTTTTGTTTTATTTATATTCTTAGCTAATTGTTAACTGGTTTGACGGGCCCCAGTTCTACTTTGGCATTTGTTTTATCGCAATTCCTGATATATTTATTGAATACTTGTGTGGCTGGAAATGATCAGAGATTTGGAATCGATAATCAGTTTCATAAGATTGAGGATCAGTTTGAAGATTGAGGATCGTTTGGCCCCACCCTGGCACATCGTCTGCGTTGCGTCTGAGTCATAAAAAGCAAAAGTGATCGAGCGCACATGATCTGCATGCCAAATCAGCCATAAGCCACTGTCCCCGCAGGTGTCTCAGGGTTAAGTATCTACCAATTGGAGCAGTCAGGTAACTAATCTCTGGCCTAGCCTTCGCTTCAAACCAGTAATTAAACTGGATTTGGATTTGATATTTCTTATATCTTTCTGCCACTGCGCTGAGAACAAAAGCGCCTAACGGTGGCTGCCATGTGTGTGTGTGTGTGGATAGGGTAGGTCCACACGGTCTATGGTCTGGCGACCGTCTATGACCACTTCACGCGATTGCAATTGGAATTTTTGAAAGTAAAAGCAAACATGCTTCGTAATTGAAAGGTTGCGCTAATTGCGAATGGTAGGGGGAATGGTTATTATTGCTATGTTAGCCCCCAAGGCCCTTGCGGCATACTTACCAGCTGTTATCCAGGACAGCACCAGGATACTGGATACTAGAATTTTCTGCATGTTGAACACTTTGTTGTGGCTTTCTTGGTTCGTTTGGCAAATGGCGGAAATTCAAAGAAAGGAAATGCACCCACAACACACACACTGAGAGAGAGGCACAGAAACAATAACAACAACAACAACAACAACAACAAAAATTCAAATATTCAACACGCGCAAAAAAAAAATGTGTCGAAAAACAAACTGAAACTTTCGCTTCAGGTGGCTTGTACGTTTTAACGGTTACGCGTTCCAAACTCAACTGAAAAGATTTATACCGGACTCCAAGAAGAAGAAGCAAGCGGCGGTAGCGGTAACGGCAGACAGCGACAGCGACGTCGACGGCGACAGACAAACAGAAAAACGAACGAAAAAATACAAAAACAACCAACAAACGACAAACAAAAGTTTTGCAAAAGCTTTGGGTTTCGCGTTGCTGTTGTTGTTGTCGAGATTTTAGGTGGGTGGTTGAGATGGGAAGTGGAGAAATAAGAAAATAAACCAAATTGCTGTTGGTGTCACTGTAACGGTTATCAACCGTGGTGTTGTTGAATCTATTGTTGTTTCTTTTAATGTTGATAGAATTTCTTTCCTTCTTGCTGTTGGTGCTGTTGTTGAAACTCTTGCCTATTGATATTCCTATTATTTTGAATGCTGCCGCTGTTGTTAGTGTTGTAATATTGCCACCACTGCTGTTGCTGCAAAACGTGATTTGGGGTAAGCTTCCAGCAGGCAGGCATATGGCATGCATGAATATGTGATTGAAAGTAAAAGGCAAAGCTCGAGCAAAGCGCAGGCAAGCTTCATTCATGATCGGCGCTTGTCCCGTTTCTTGCCGATTACCGCTACATTGTTAACTATTGCAAAACTTTTGGCCGCTGCTGTTGCTGCTGCTGCTGCTGCTGCTGCTGCTGCTGCGGTTATTGCATAACCCAAAAATCTGCTGCTCTGCTCTGACTGCAGCCTTTTTGTTGTTGTTGTTTTTTTCGTTTTTTTGCTCTGCTGCTCTTGTGATTTGTTTCGCTTGCGGCAATCCGCTTTGCCCACTCAGGTAATTAACGGCTCTTTTGTGTGCCCTGTCTCAACAAAGGGTTAATAGATCACCCTCGGCCCCCACCACCTGACCGTACGAGTTGCAGTGTTGCGTCCCAAGTGAAAGGTTTGATTGATTATTCGACAGACAGATGATATCCCCAGATATGCATCCCACTTATCCCACACACTTATGTATCTATTTCCAAACAATAGATCAACAAAATACAACAGGATTTATCATAGTTTTGAAATAATTTTTTAATTAAACAGAAAATGAAGTTGAAGTGTGTCTTTGATCCACTAAAATGGAAGACCAACAGTCTTAAGTTTTAGATACAAAAATATATAGAAAAGTGAATATAGATGATAGATATAGAGAGATAAATATTATCTAAAGAGTGCTTAAAGCATCGCAGAACGTTCAGAGGGTAGTCTTAAGGTATGATGGATAGCTTTTAGGAATAGTTATACCAGCAGAAAAGACTCTTTGAAAAGGTATAGAACTCACAGCAAAAGTTGTAGAAATCGAAAAGAGAAGCCACAAGAAAGTTATGCATAAAAAAAGTGACTTCAGTTGATTAGATAACATAGAAATAGATACAAAGATTTCTTAAATACAAAATAGAGGAGGAAGCTGCTTAGAGCAAGCCAAGATCTTGCTAAAAGAAATATTTGCATGTGTGAAATATCCATAGATGAAGTGAAAACTTATAGAATACAGCATCAAATGATCAGAAAGATCTCATAGCCAAGAAGGATGTCAAAAATAACTAAGGGAAAGAAGGAAAGATAGCATAAAAATAGAGGGGATAAGTGAAAGTGCATAGAAAGTTTATAGATAGAATATAGAAGAGGTTGCAGGTGTAGTTTATATAAAAAAAATCAGTTTATTTTCTTGTATAATAATTAAATGAAAGTCAGAAAGAGTGAGGAAATATATACACAACAATTTGGCAGTAGATTCAGTTGGGCACAGAGTGATAGACAGAGAGGCGGTAGAGGTAGACACAGAAAGTGAAGAAAATAGCTGGATAGAACGGAATCGATAGAACGAGACAGCCAGACAGTCAGACAGTCAGACAGTTGGACAGAGGATTATAGTTTAACTGCTAGGTTCTATAGGAAATGGGCTAGAAAAACTAACTTTAAGTGACTACGACGCGAATCCATTTTTCTCAGTGTCTATTTTTGTGTGCATAAGTGTGTGACTGTGTAGGTGTTGGGTGTCATGTGTGTGTGTGAAGTTGGATAGCAGAGAGAGAGGGAGAGAGAGAGAGAGGAAGTGGGAGACGCGCATGTGGAGCTTATATCGGCGGGCAGCGCTGAACAACAGCCGGCTTAGTCCTTCTTATCATCGACATCCTTGTACCAGTCCTCGCAGCCGGGCACATTTTCGGGTGCGTCACACATCTCTGTGTTATCGTTGTAGACCTCGCCCAGCTGGCAGCCCAGATCGCGCGGATCCTCGCCGTTCAGGCAAACGTAGAACTTTTGGCAATCTGTGGGATGGGGATACTTGGGATGGGTCACAACCTGACCGCGATCATCGGTCTTTGGCTGATCCTTGGGGCACTCGAAGCCAGTCTCAGACATTCCTTTAATAAGAAAAACAAAACCAAATCATGACGGTCAGTGAAAAGCTCAACTCGCAGAGGCTCAAAGCTCAAAGAACTTACTCTGCTCGGGATTGCAGCCCTCACGCTTGGCCGTATCGGGCCACACGCAGGTGCCAGAGTACTCATCGAAGTGCAGGCCGACGGTACACTTGGTCTCCAGTGCGTCGCCCTCGATGCAGTTGTAGAAGATGTTGCACACAGACGGATCGGGATGGGCAAAGAACCCGTTCTTGCGCGGACAATACTTGCTGGACTTGGGCTCCTCTATAAATGGCAAGTCAATTAAAACCAGTTCGATGTGGCTGGACATCAGCAATTTATCTTACGCAATTCCGTACGATCCTCGCAGTCTACATTGAAGGGCTGGTCGCATTTGTTGAACTTGCGATTCAGGGGATCGAAGACCAAACCGTCTGGGCAGAGTCTCGCCTTGGGCACACCATCCTCGCAGACATGGAACTTGTCGCACTGAATCTCATCGGCGAACTGGCCATTGGGCTTGGGGCACTCGAAGCCGGCTCCGGATACAGCTATGTCGAGGAAGAAATAAATGTACAGACGGGAAGAGTTCAGTCAACTTGTTTTTCACACTTTCACTTTTTCCATGGCACGGAAAAGTGTAACAAAAAAACGTGATCGACCGATGATCGGAACCGTCGATGGCAATTCCGCCATTGCGGTTTCCTGCTTTTGGATGGGGGAACTTTTCAACAGAGTAACTTATTGGTGGGGGAAATGTTAACATGGGATATTTCAACAGAAGCTGCTGGAACTAAGGGGAACATTCGAGAAGTAAAACGATTCTTGAAGAAATAGTTGGTGCATCTCTAGGCAATGGCTGCACCTTCATGCAGTGACGACTGCAAAAGTTTTGTTGCATAATCCACAATTTCAGCCAGACAACGACACGACCGCTTTTTAGGCTTGGCAGCAGCCAGTTTTCCGAGACCACCGGAGAGCGAGCAGACCCAGTTCCAGTGCCAGTCCCAGTCCTAGTCATCAGCCAGCCGGTTTTCACTCCTCATCTCGTTATGCCCCGCCTCGAAGTCGTTTATGGATCTGCCGTCTGTATCTGGGAGCTCTTCTCGAAAGGTTGGTCACTTTAAATGTCATTCGTTGGTTTGGGCAGGAAAAAAAAGAGCGTTTAAGCGCTTAAGCGCTTAAGCCTAATCTTGATTTGGTGTCAATGTCAAAATAATTAACAACAAGTTGCGATTTCTGCGGGTGTTTTTAGACAAACAAATAAACGGACAGACAAATCGGACACTAGACACCAGCGACAGCGCGTACACCGTTACCGAAATTTCCTTCCTTTCGATCCCATCCAACTGCGATCATCGGTCACCGATTGGCGATTCTGTTCAACACTCACTTGTCGCTGCCAGACAAAGCGTCACAGCCATGGCACATAAAAATAATTTCATTTTGTGGATTTATGCAGATTCCAGGGTAGTAAAGTAAAGCAAAAAAAAGCAGCACTCGATTTTTGTGACGGCGGGTCCTTCCAGGAAGAGGGGAACTGCTGAGCAACTGGATCGCGACTCAAGCGGTGCGATGGTTAAACTTAAACTAACAACGGAACGGCAGAGAGGCGCACTTTTCAAGACTTTTTCACCGGCCCCGGGAGGTGCTGCGACGACGACGACGACGGACACCGACGCCGTTGCCGGCCGCGGCAGAGCAATGGCAGAGCGCCAGTGCTATGACGTGGGGCAGGGGCACTTAACCTGGCCGATGGAAACGACTGGGGTGCGGTAGTGTAAGGGAAGTCAAAGTAAGGAATGGGAAGGTGGCAAAGAAAGGCGAGACAAAGATGTAATGAAACCAAATAGCGCTAAGAGCATGTCGAGCTTTGCACACCCTTCCGCCTCTTGCCAACTGAACCAGGCAGCCCACACGGCTGCGCGAGGCGTGTCAGTGCAGTAATTGGGTAGAGTATTCACACAAGGAAGTAAATCAGCTTGGGTCGAAGAGTGGCACACTCATGCGTTCGCATGACTTACGAGCAGGTACGTGCATACAAATGTAAATATGTATGTATGTATGTACATGTGATCAATGCAGCTTTGGCTGAGGGGAGCCAATATGTGATTTGCGAGAGCGACTGCGTCCATACACCTTACTCTCTCTATCTCCCCAACATATTTTCAATACAGCAAACTCCCGTTAGATTATTCTCTAGGAAGTCATGTTGTGCGAAAGGAGAGTGGCGATAAAAGACGAGAGAGCGAGAGAGCGTAACCTGCAAATGCATTACTCTCACACGCCAAGACAGTACAACTCCGGGTTAGGGTATTCCAAGCATGAACACTACCCGCAAGCACATGTTGTGGATGTGGCCGAAAGTAACAAAAAAAAACGCCAGCAAGCGACGACATTCATATGCGCCAACGCTACCAGAGGTTTGATGGGCCGCATGCAAATGTCGTTTACAGCAATAAAAACCCAAATCACAAAAGCCCCAAAGCGAATTAAGCCAAAACGAACAATCAACGCATACGATAACCAAAAGAAAAAACCAAAAAGAAGTGAATGAAGGGTGCAGCCTTTCCATTCCCGAACCGGTGCAGGCCTTTCCATTAACAGATGCCCGCACAGAGTCCAGCAAATTCACAGCCTTGAGGAGGATCTGCTTTTTGTTTTATTTTTCGAGAAGATGAGATGTTTCGAGAGGGAGAGAGGGGTTCCTTGGCTGGTGGAAAAACTGTGTCACAGGGGAAATCGAAACGAAATGTCCGATAGTTGGTAATATACATAATATATACATATATATGCTAAATATACGACACGCAATGTTCCCAAAACCAGTTGTCCTTGAGAGATGCGATCCGATACGAACCAATACGATGTGGCATCTGTTTATGCGGCGGCGGCGGCAAAAACCAGATGAGATAGAAACTAGTTTAGGTTCAAACTTAATTAACCGGACACTTTTACTCTCAATCGACCAACCGACCGACCGACCGCCCGGCCCGATGGATGCCATGCCGTTGGTATTCTAAGAAACCAGCAAAAATCTAAAATTCAATTGGCAAATTAATTTGTAAACTAATCACGAATAAAAATCGTATTAAACGAACCGCTTTGGTTTGCGTTTGCGTTTGCAGTTAGCAGAAAACCTACAACAACAAAAACTACTGCTCGCATTAATACACACACACGCATACATACAGATGTGTGTACGTATTTCGCTTCTTCCATCCCGATGGACACACAGGCCAACCGGCACATTGGTTGCCCCATCCCGATGGAAAGAGACGCTGATTTATCAGCCTGGAGCGAAAAAATAAAATCATTTAAAGATTTGGTAATTCAAGGTTTTTACTGGCAACATCGGCTCGGATGGCTGGGATCGTCTTCCAGTCCGGTTTGTCCAATAATGTTACGAAATTAACGAAAAGACAAAACAACAGAAACCAAAAGGCATATTTGGTTGTCTTGTGGCTTATGGGTCATCAAATGTTGGCATTTAAATGGAAATGCGCCAAAAATAGTCTCTCCACCCCCTACTCTGAAGACAAGTTTCCGATGCACTTTGTGGCATTTTGGGTTTGGTAAAGGCAGGCAATTAAGAGGTCATTCAATTTTAGAGACAAAACGTCATTTGCTCACGCATGCACCGACACACACCCACACACGAATACAGCAGAATAACGGTAAACAGGTATGCAGTTTGCATGTTGCCGCTGAATTCACAGCATGACAACAGCTGGTGGGGGGCGCTGTGGCATTGATGGCATAAATTAAAGAAAACAATTAAACAATTGTACATTGTGCATTCTTAGTTAGCTTTCTATTTCCAGTGGCAGGTTCTTATGGTTTCACTTACCCGCCCCCCGAAACCAGCAACGCATATATTAACTAACAGCAATCAGAAATGGTTAAGCAATTCGCTGTTAAGTGCACTTAACATGTGCGTAACAGTGTGCTGTTGAACGCCAAATTGTTTGCTAGATCAACGAATTATGCTGGCTATGATTTTCTAACTTGAACAAAGATGTAAAAACATCATTATTTTCCCCGGCATAACTTAAGTTTTAATAGAGGGCGGTTAAGTGGGCAAAGTTCGTTATTTCCTCTTTACATTTGCAGTATATTTTGACAATGTGCTGGTATATTACGGTTTATTTCTGAGGGTCAGGCGAGTATATTTGCTTGAAAAATCCGCAGTCACACTGGTCAAAACATTAAAGTCGCATTTTTACATGGTTGAAAAATGTTAATTTAAGTACTGAAATTGCCAATATTGAACGTTTAAAGAACGCCAAGAGGTGGGTCCACTAAGACAGTCATCGAATCATACATAATTGGAGTGCAAGAGAATCTGTGAAACCAAAAACGAAGTGAACTCGAAAATATCAGACACACTCATTTTGTGGGGTGCATTGGATTTATTGATTTTCTTGCATCAAAGAAACGGAATGTGCGTGCGCGTACTGGGTGACATCTGTTCTGATTAGAATTCGGCCCAAAGACCAATATGGAGTGTGCAAAAGCGCACAAAATGACTATTTAAATGTGCAATCGAACAGAAAAACAGACAGCCGACACCAACACACAGTTAGTGGACACGCACACACACGCAAACGGAGAGAAGGTTTTTTGCTAGCATTTGGCCAACTGGTGACATCATCAAAGCAACCAATATTGGTTAAGGCAGCCGACGGACAGAGCCATAACCAAAACCGAATTGATCATTCATTAATCATTAATCATCGTGCACCACCCTTGCCCTTGCCTTGCAGAGTAACGCGCTACACAAGCCGCTTCTAACCGACGACATCCCTGCCTCAGGGTAGCACCAATCCAACAAATTCGAAGTGCAATCCAGAGAGAACTCGCGAAATAGTTAAGTAAAACAAGGGCAAACAAACTAAAAATGGATCGCAAGGCTGAGCTGGAAAGAAAAAAGGCCAAATTGGCGGCCCTGCGCGAGGAGAAGGATCGTCGGCGGAGGGAAAAGGAGATTAAAGACATGGAAGAGGCGGCTGGACGCATTGGCGGCGGCGCTGGCATAGACAAAGATCAGCGAAAGTGAGTTTGTTTTTGTTTCTTGGGTTGTGATTCCCAAAGCCCAAAGTACACGCTGAAAGCTTTTGGTTCTGCCTTTCCTAGAGATCTGGATGAAATGCTTTCATCCCTGGGCGTGGCACCTGTCTCCGAGGTGCTGTCTTCTCTGTCATCGGTCAACTCAATGACGTCGGAAAATTCCAATACACAGACACCCGACGCCAGCCTGCAGGCCACTGTCAATGGTCAAACGTGAGTTGCCCGAACACTTTCCCAATTTGTATTGAATTAATTGTTATGTTTGCTTATTGCTTTGTTCCTTTTGCCTTCAAGCAGTGGCGGAAAGAAGCAACAGCCCTTGAATCTGAGCGTTTACAATGTGCAAGCAACGAACATTCCACCAAAGGAGACGCTGGTCTATACGAAGCAAACACAAACGACCAGCACCGGGGGACATGAGCGTGATGGTGCGTACACACAGCATAAGAATAAAGCATAAGGATAAGCATAAGCATAAGCATAAGCGGGAATCCACTGTACCATGTACCATGTATCTACCGACAATAACCACTATCCATAGTTTGTTTCCATCTATCGTGCTGCTGTCTTGTTCTTGTTCTTGTTCTTGGTTGGCCTTGAATATCCTTTGTACTATATTCTCGCTCTATCTCTATCTATCTGTCTCTCCACACACACACACACACACATGTGTCTCTGTCGCTTAAAGTCTGGCTGCTGCATGCTAACCTTTATCCTTCCCTCTACCCCCAACACACACACACACACACACAAATTCGGCATTTTGCGCTTTAGAACGCTTTCCCCCTCCTGACCCAGTCCCAAAAAAGATAAATCATAAACGAGCAATCCATAGTGAAATAAAAAATAACAAATACAGTTCTTTCTTGCCACTCCTCGCCTCTGTCAGGATATATGGAGGATTGGTGGCGTCCACGTAAAGGTACTAATCTTAATTATAAGCAAACCTAACCACCACACACATGTCAGTATCTGTATCTGATCAGCACAAGCGATTATTTTGGTTTATGTAATGGTAAAAATTGAGTTACCGAAATTCAATTGGTGTGGCATAAACATGGTTAAATCATCATCATCATTGTTTTTTTCATTATCTCTGACCCGCGGAACCACCCACGAACCCATCATTAAATTCATCATTTTTGATTTTCGTTCCCATTGCCCATGCCCACAACTCCACATTGTTAGCGCCCAATTAGAACAATTTTTGTAGCGCATTTAATAATTTGTCTATTTAATTTCTCTCTCTTTCTCTCTCTCTCCCCCCTTATCTGTTATTGGCACGCACGCAAAAAAAACTGCAGCTCATGCTACGGATTATTATGGTGAGTAGCCAACGTTCCTATCCGTAATACTTGTGCCCAACAAACTTTTCAGACTCTCTGTGTAGACGTAAAAGCAAAGTAACAAACCGTACAAATCGTATCGTATGCGCCTCCTAATATAATACTCTATGTAGAACCACCTATGTCTATATCCCATCTGTCTATATGTATCCTATATTTTGTGTGTAGTTCTTTTTGCGCT